CCAAAATTAGCTATCCAGTTTTCGACCAAAGCTTTAGCTACTGTTTCAGCGGAGACGTCGGCTATTGGAACTGCTACAGGCCAACGAGTGAATCTATCGATGCAAGTTAGAATGTAGTTGCAACCATTGGAAGGAGGTAGTGGACCAACTATGTCTACATGTATATGTTCAAATCTAGAGTCAGGGTTAGGAAAACGACCAAGTGGTGCATTGGTATGACGGTTGATTTTGACTCTTTGACAAGACAAGCAATTTCGTGTCCACTTCTTAACATCGCTATTAATGTTCGGCCATATAAATCTTTCTTTTATTAGTTTGATAGTAGCGCTGACACCGGGATGAGACAAGTTATGTAACTTCTCGAATACTGTATGTTTCATAGCTGCTGGAACGAAGGGTCGATATTTACCTGTAGAGGTGTCGCAGATTATTTTTGTCGTGCCAAAAGGAATTGCGTCTAGCTTTAAAGATGTTGTTTTAGAAAACATGATCTTTTTTAGCTCGGCATCATCTCGTTGTAGGTTTGAGAGACGTTCATAGTCGATGTCTGGGCATACAATGTTGTCGATGTGCACACGTGATAAAGCGTCTGCCACTTCATTGTGTTTACCCTTCACATGTCGCAGATCAGAAGTGAACTGAGATATAAACTCGAGATGTCGTAGTTCACGCGGAGAGTAGTTATCCTGTTTTGCTGATAAGGCTTTCGTTAGAGCTTTATGGTCTGTAAAGACAGTAAAAGCTGTACCTTCCAGCATATGTCGGAAGTGTTTGATTGCTAAATAAACAGCCAATAACTCTCTACCAAAAGTGCTATAGCGGCATTGAGTAGGATTCAGTCGTTTCGAAAAGAATGCTAGGGGTTGCCATTCGCCGTGTACTTGCTGTTGTAAAACCGCCCCGATGGCAACGTCTGAAGCGTCTGTCATGAGAGACAGGGGGGCATCATTTTGGCGTCTGACTAGAAGTGTCTTGTCATTTAACAATTGTTTGACATTTTCGAATGCTTTAACAGCTTCTGCGGGCAAATGGAATGAACGACTGTGTCCACGTAAGCAATCGGTTAATGGTTGTAAAGCTTTAGCACAGTTGGGAATAAAACGCCGGTAAAAATTAACGAGACCCAAAAATCGTCGTAATTTTTTAAAAGAATCTGGTAGTGGATAATCTTTGATAGCTTGTACGTCATCAGGGACTGGTCTGATTCCTTGGCTATCGATTAAATGACCGAGAAATTTCAGTGAGGTCTTACCAAATTCGCACTTGTCTAAGTTGATAGTCATTCCGTATTGGTTCAGTCTTTCAAACACTGTCTTCACATGTTTCAAATGCTCGGCTTCGTCTGCGCTTGCAATTAGTAAGTCATCGATGTATGCGTAGACGAAAGGGAGACCACGGAGTACTTGGTCAATTAGGCGTTGGAATGTCTGAGCGGCGTTCATAAGTCCGAATGGCATGCGTACGAATTCATATAAACCGAATGGTGTGGTAATGGCAGTTTTCGGAACGTCATCCGGGTGGATGGGGATATGATGATACGCTCGGACCAGATCGATTTTAGAGAAAACTTTAACATTTGGTAAGTTGCTAGCAAAATCGTGGATGTGTGGTATTGGGTATCTATCAGGTACCGTTTGCTTGTTTAAAGCTCGATAATCACCACACGGCCGTATTTCACCAGAAGACTTTTTGGGTACCATGTGAAGCGGTGAAGACCAAGAGCTGTTGGACGGTCGAATAATACCAAGCTCTAGCATTTTATCGAACTCTGTTTTGGCAATTTTAAGTCGATATGGGTCAAGGCGTCGTGGACGTGCAAAAACTGGCGGTCCAGTGGTTTTAATATGATGAACCACATGATGCTTCGGTTCTGTTCCTCGAAAAGAAGGTTTTAAAAGGTCAGGAAACTGATTTACCAAATTGGTATATGGAGATGCTGGTGTGCGTGTGACCATCAAGTTCAGTGATGATGCACGGCTAATCGTACCAGCAATGTACGTTTTATTGAGCGAATCTATTAGCTTGGGGCTTATCGGATCAACTAACAGTTTGTGTTGCTGTAGAAAATCAATACCGAGGATTGGGGATGGGACGTCTGCAATAATGAAAGACCAAGTGTAGGTATTCTTTAAACCAAAATCTAAAGTCATTCGTTTACTTCCATATGTAACAATACTGGACTGATTAACAGCTTGGAGAGTAACTGCTGGGTCAGGATGTTGACGTTCCTGTGTAGACGGAGGGAGAACACTCACCTCTGCTCCTGTGTCAACTAAGAATGTAGTACCGGTATTTTTATCTGTTACATAAAACAAACGACTGTTAGATCGTAGGTTGCCAACAGTATTTTTTACACATGACGATATATCTTTTGGTTTAGTCTGAAAATTGCAAGGTGAACGGCACCGTCGTGCTTTGCTTCCATAACTACGGTGATACCAGCAAATATTATCGCGATGTCGTGACGTGCTAGGGGATCGAGAAAGACGTCGACGAGACGAGCTTCTAGAACGGCTTGGTTGTGTGCGTGTAGTCAGTTTTGCTAACTGACTCAGTAAGGTGTCGACTTTGTGTTCTAGAGTCTGTATTCTATCATGAGTGTCTGGTATTCTGCTAGTGGAAGCGACAGATTGAGGTGTTGACCTCTCGTACATGCGATCCGCGATTTCGGTGAGCCTTTCTATGTCGATGTCGTCGTCTCCGAAAGCAAGAACCTGCTGGATGTTTGCGGGAAGTCTTCGTAGCCATATTTGGTAAAAGAGACGTTTATCGATTTCTCTTCCGGCAACTAGGCTTTGCATATGCCTCATGAGTTGCGATGGGGTTTTATCCCCTAACTCAACATTGCTTAACAGGCGATCGAGTGCTTGCCTATCCGAAAGAGAAGTGCATCGCAGTACCTCTTCCTTCAACTTGTCGTAAGGTGCTTCCGTGCTGGGTTGAACGATGTATTGCCGTACCTGCTCGGCGACTTCGTCTGGTAGTACTGTACTCAAAATGCCAAATTTAGCTGTTTGTGACGTGAGCTTATTGCTAGCCATATAATGTTCCAGTCGTGCAAACCAAAGATGAGGGTCTTTGGGCTTAAAAACTGGTACAGTAAGAGAGATAGTACTAACAGATCCCAGCTCTAAGTTATCAGAGGTATTGGAAGACATGTTACAATACGTAAAAAATATGGTTTAAGAGTAGGAAAATGGCAAAATTTGTGCACAATAAGAATATGGCAAAACAGAAAAAATGCAATGCAGGTGCTTACCACAAATTACTGCAGATTGTGCTATGAGCAAACACAAAAATGAGTTCGAATTGTTTAATAAATATATAAATCCGCGAAAGTTAGAGTTTTAATAATCCAGTAAGTGTAACAACGCGTCGAGGTCAAAAGTCGTCGTCGGAGTCAGCAATTTGTCGTCGGGATCAGCAAGTTATCGTCGGGGCTCACCAATTTGTCGGGGCTCACCAATTTGTTGCGTGTTCTATTTGACTAAATGAGCGTACACGTATTTCCTAGTACTTCTTCACGTTTATCAATGTGCGCAGACGTTGTGGCTACTCGACGCCCACAACGTAAAATCAGAAGGCACTTGTGAAGAGTATAATCGTGTATTATAGCCGTAGTCAAATTTCGGAAAAGTATCAAGGTAACGTTCAACAGTAAATTGGCAAATGTTTACGAAGTACATATAAAATCGGTATGTGTAAACATATAATATGAGTATGCAAATTAGATTAAAAACGTATGTTTATAGTTGGTACAGGGGTACTACAAGTTCTCTTCCTGTATTATCTGCCTCCAGTTCGACTTGCATATCATACCGCCCATGAGGATTTTGATTTCACCACTTGGGATGTTGTCCACTACTGTTTGTAATTATCTGTAAAAAAACCCCTTCTTTTCCTGTTCTGCGTCATTTGTAGCACTCTGCGAAGCATTGGATAATTGTGAACTTCCTTCCTTTTGAGTTGAATGTTCCTGTCATTATCCTGCAGGAGGTGATTGGTTCCCTCTACATTAGGGCTTTGGATGTCACTGGTGACATCATTATAGCCACTCACTGTCTCATTGTGCTGGTGGTTATCGTCTGGGTGACCGGGGTAGATTATTGACTCTCCGGTTGACAATGTTGTCAATCCACATCCATTCCATCCGCTTTCGCAGATACCTAGCACTTCTATGCCATATCTTAGCATTTATTAGGCTACCTGGGCAGCCTTCCCAGTCTCGTACATTGTACGGACATTGCACGTCTCCATTCTTATTCTTGTTTTCATCAAGAGAAGAGACATCGGCTAACTGGTTTCCCGAAGGCCGGCTTTCACCAGCCCTCTGTATCAGTCCCCAATTCAAGCGAAGAATAAGTTTGTTTTTGATACTTTTTGTATATTTAATATTTTTATTGTGCGTTGAAGTTTCTCTAGCAGTGTGATAGCTTTGTGGTGTAGGGCCGCTAGCTTTACGCCAAACACTCCCTTTTTACCCGGGCTTGGGGCGCACAGAAAACTAGCAAGCTAGTTATCTAGGCGAGGTTAACTGTTGGTCAGGTAAGCCATAATTCACTTTCCTGTAAAAACATAATAAATCAGAGGGGATTATAATTTTTAGCCGGGACCATACAGAAGTCTGAAGTCAAGTCTCAGAAGCATTCCTGTAAATCTCATAATGCCTACTTCTCAAGGTTGCATATTGGATACTCTCAAGGTTACTATTGAACATTTGAAATAGGAAGCACTTTTATAATTGTTTTCTGCTATCGCGCAGTTCATTGGGCTTTTGCACCAATGTCATGCATTAGTTCCTCTTATGACTACAGTTATTGTAGCTGCAACACCTGTTTGTTCTCAGATATCATCAGGATAGGCGATTGTATCCTGAACTCTTGGTGTACAAACGATGTTATAAGGTTCTTGATCAATTTAATCGATACACCACATTTAAGCATATTGGGGGATGATATATGCAAAACTATAGATCTTAACAGATCAAAAGATATTTTATACTCCAGTATCAGGCTATATGGTTGCACAAGTCATTATTTAACTCTCAATACACAAAAACGGCTTTCTTCTGAAATAATGAACGATGTTGAAAAATATGTTGCAGAAGCTCTGTCGTATATTTCACCTATGTATCGAAAACTGTTTGTTTTACACATGCTGTTTGGAAGCTCCGACAGTGTATCCTATGCTGTCTATTCTGAATTACGGAAAAAGTTCTTCGGTGAAAGTACAACTCTGAATGAAGTTCACTCCAAATTACACATGCCATGGAATCTAAGTTCGAAGATACAAGCGTTCGTCGAAAAACCCGACAAAAAGATTTCTAAAAAAAATGAAATGACTTCAAATGAACTAAAAAGCACAGTGAGTTTTTGATATCTAAAATATAAAGTTCACAAATAAGCATTGAAAACACGATAGAGTTGACATTCTCTCCATGTTATTATTATTATATTGAAAGACCCTCGCTTTATTGATTCTTCTTTAAAGAAGACTGCTACTATGAAACCCGGGGACTATTTAAAATGACTTGTGCATCAGTACAATACAGACCATCATAATATCTAACTTGTAAGCAATAGTGGCAGACTTATTAGGCATAGGAAAACATTCTGCAATCATGTTGCATTTACAAGCTAATATAAAGATTTACCTGCAGAATAACATTCTACATAGAACATTCTTGTCTTATTTCAATGAGCAGAAGATTCTTAGATAATTTGTAAACTATAATGAATTAAATTATCAACTTAGGACTATACGAAAAATGCGAGTTAGTCGAATACACCTCTTTTTTACAGACCCATACGAAAGTGGAGGAAAAAAATCCGTTGAAACTAAGATAAATGATAATCCACAAGATGGAGAGTAATTACAGCAATACCAGTGATGATTTTAAGAATCTGGAAGAGTGGAGTTACTTCTTGATCAGAGCATTCCTAGGGCTGGTCCACTGTAATTTGGTGGCTGGGCTGCTGCTAAATCTGTCAAAGTAATTAAGGGAAATATAATGCTTATTCCTGCTCAAAAGTACATTCAAGTAAAAGAGTGGTGAGAGTTAATTAGAACACACCAACTTAACACAGTTCAGCCACTAGGTGGTGGTTGTTTCAAGCAACTCGTTGTTCACGATACCTTTTATTTCGTCTCCATCAGTAAAGATAGACAAAATGGTTGCTGGATATGAGGTGACTGAGGCTCATTTGAGTTCTGGAGTTTATTTAACTGCCTGCCTGACCTGAAGTGAACACATTTGCTCCAAGGAAAACGAATTTGAGGGCACCTTACAATTAGTTGTTTTTATATTAGGTTGCTTATGTCCAATTTACTTGTGTTTTGGTGCACTACCTTTGATTTACGTGCGATTTTATCAGTGATTATCGATATGAGTTTCTGACTACATACAAGAAATGAATCGATTCTGGTCTACATATTTGATAGTGATTATTACTATTGTAGAGTGATTTGAACTTTATCAGCCTTATCTCCAAAAACTAATAAATAACATACTCCTGGAATTTATTTACGCCTGGTTCATCACTTTTAATAAAATTAGTCGAGATAGCTAATGAAGAAAACACCCAGTAGCAAGTTAATGTTCTTTGTTCACAAGAAATCATAGCCGGCATATTTTACTTCACTCATACTTTAGGTTGTTGGATTATGGAGAATTATTACTTTTATTTCATGGCTGCGTTTAATGCATTTTTGAATATTCTGATTCGAGTGGTGTCACGTGACCAGTGTAAAGATTATGAGTGATGTAGTTATTTAAATGTAATGGTTTTTTAATTTGTTTGGTAATTTTTGTTAATCTTAATAAATTAGTTTCTGATTAAACCACTATATATTCGTTTGTCATTTGCTGACTTGCTTAATCTTTGACCATTCACAAGATGGATGCACTGCACAGTAGTTGGTCCTGTTTAGCTCTAAGACCGTCAAACATAGCCGTTTAATTGTAAAAATACAAGAATACCAGTGGTGTTTGGCTATAAATACCTTCACTCAGTTAATCGTTTTCACTGAGTCCACATGGCAAGTAGTAGTGATGTTAGGCAAAGAATTTGAAATAGGGACAAATCTCCAGCCGACACGGCTGGGAACCTACACTGACTAACAAAGTTAATGAGTGTTTAATATCGAACCGAACCATCGCTTTCTATCGCCTAAAATTTCCACTTTTTTGTTCTGAAGGTTAGTTCTGTCTAAAAATAGGAAAACAAATAATTCCTGTAGTGCAGTTTTACTTATCCCATATCGTTAGGGGTAAAATATATGGCCTGCCGCTTTTGTCTAAAGAGCGATTTTGTAGGCGAGATAATCGAAAGTACTTTCGAAAATGGTGTGAAAAGTACTGACACACTCTTACGCTACAGCTACGTAAGCTGCAGAAGCTATATATATATATATATATATATTAGAAAGCAATTGGACAAAGAATGTCCTGTTCGATGATTTCCTCTTCTGGCTCCATAATAATATGCACATATTTATATACACTGAGTGTTCTAGAATAATGGTCATTATCAATATTGGTGTCCATAAATACTACCGATTTGTTGAGATCAATGCAATTACACTTCAAGAAAGACGCTTAAGCTATAACAAGCATGAAAATGTAATAGCAAATAGAATGTCAAACAAAATTAAGGAAATTTTCACAACAAATTGAGGATCATTCGAATCTTGATTGTCGAAGTAAAGACAGTGTCTGAACCATCTTCTTTTGGACACACAACTTAGGCTTTATAACGTGGATTCCGAAAGCCTCATCAATATGTAATAGACGAAATATTGAGGCAAAATTGATTAAGATTAGTTGTTATGTGGTAGATGACTTTGGAAGACATGTTAACATCAATTTTGTGTTTTGTATCCACGAGATGAGACAGAATAATGTTATAAATGGATTGTGCTTGTCCCTTACTCAATCACGCAGCACGTTGTTAGGAAACTGGTAGTTACACATAGAAGACGAGAGATGAGGTAGTTTATCTTTAACTCCCGAACGAATTCAGTGCTGATGAATTATGCTGTGTCTTCAATAACACCTCCGTTTTGCATTCGGGAGTTAAAGATAAACTACCTCATCTCTCATTGATATAAGAATAAAACTTGGGCACTGTGGTAGAGTGTAATTCCATTATGGGTAAATTTTATTTTGATAGAGTCTCACAGTGTTATACAGTAATATTTACTGATGACGTTTCGAGCACAATTTATTGCTCATATTCATATCAAGGTAATCACACGACTTCCTAAATTCATTTATATAGTTCCATTATTTTTCACTTGATTTCCACTTGATTTGATTGGTAGTGTTATTTTCCATATTTCGGGTATTAGTGATGATTCATTCCTATTGCACGTGTTGGGTGTAGATTCGATGAACAAAGATTCAGTAATCAACCTCTCTCTCCACCTACCTAGATCACTTTTTAGAATTTTAACCCTCTCCCACCCTATTGTGTGGTTGTGTATTAATGCATGCATTGCAATTGCCGAGCTTTTTTCTAAATTACTTATCTTTTCTGGGTCAACCATTCTTATCTTAGCTAAATTCTTATGTTCTGACAATCTGACTATTCCTGACCTACTAGTTTGACCTATGTAGTTGACCTCACAGTCATTGCAGGGTATTTTGTAAATTATATTATTTTGTCTAATTGGGTCCACTGGGTCCTTTAACCTACAGAGCTTGTCCCTGAGTGAGTTTGTAGGTTTAAATGCCACCCTAATTCCTGCTTTATTTAGAATCCTACGTAGGGTCTCAGATGTCCCCTCTTTATATGGTATAACTGTCGATGACTTATATTCTCTCTTATTTATGTTATCATTACTAGTTCCACAATTATTTTTATTTTTATTTTGTTTCTGGCCTTTAGTTATCTTCCTAATGAATTTTAAAGGATAATTATTCAACACCAACGCTTCTTCTATCTGTTTTATTTCGTCGTTTAGGTCTTTTTTTGTGCTACTTAGTGCTATGGCTCGGTTTGTTAGACACTTAACTAAGCCTGCCTTAACAGTTAACGGATGCGACGAATTAAAATCTAAATATCTATTAGAATGCGTTGGTCTTCTATACACACTAGTGTGAAGTTTACCTTCTTCTATTCGTTTTATTTTACAATCTAGCATAGCCAACTCTCCTTGTTCATCTTCCGATTCAAATGTGAATTTTATCCCCTCTACTAGTGAGTTAATATGTGTCAAGAAGCTAGAGATATGTTCTGTTTTTAACACTGTGAAAGTGTCATCCACATATCTCCACCATATTTTTGGAGTAGGATTAAACGTATTAAGTGCCATATTTTCCCAGCTATCCATAAATATATCTGCTACGATAGGGGATATTGGTGATCCCATTGCTACACCTTCAGTTTGTCTATATATTTTGCCTTGGAATCTAAAGATAGTAGATGTGAGGCATAGCTGAACCCCTAAAATAATTTCTTCAATGGACAGCTTTGTCCTATGATTGAGTTCAGTATCCGCAGTTAGTTCTTTTTTAACTGCTTCTAAGGCCATATTGACTGGTATATTAGTATAAAGACTGGTTATATCAAAACTAACCATTGTTTCATCATTATCTAGTTGTATGTCATTTAGTTTATTTTTCATTTCATATGAATTAGTTAGTCTAGAATTTGAACGATTTCTAATGGGACATAATATTAGAGCTAAATGTTTTGATAATTCATATGTAGGGGTATTTCTAAAATCTACTATTGGTCTTATGGGATAACCTGGCTTATGTATTTTAATAGTACCATACATCCTACTAGCATTATTAGTTTTAGGCATTAAATTAAACCATTTTGACTCACCCAGTGACGGCTTCATTCTGCGCACTAATTCCGCTGTGGATTTTTTAACCTTATTCATTATTGTGTCTACGGGCTTCTTAATTTCCTCATATGGACCCATTTCAATATGTTCATTGACTTTCTTGATGTAGTCAGATTTATCCAAAACTACGGTGGCGTTTCCTTTGTCAGCTTTTGCGATGACAATATTTTTATCCTGTTTTAGATTAATTAAAGCTTCTCTTTCCGACTTTGTCAAGTTTGATTTTGCCTTCTTTTGATTTTTTAGGGTTAATGCACATTGTGCTCGAACCTCTTCTGCTGTTGTTTTATCTATTGAACCTAGTGCTACTTCTATGTTAGGAATGACATCCTCTGGTTTTAATTTATTAACTGTTACGTTGAAATTTAGTCCTTTCTCCAGTACTTTTATCTCACTGGAGCTTAGTTCCCTTGATGAGAGGTTGATCACCCACTTTGTTTTGTCGATCGAGGATGAAGCATTAACATCAATTTCATTTGCTGTGTTCTTTTCTTCAATAAGTTTGTTGA